ATATGTTAATATGTTGTTCTTAAAGTGCTGTGGAGTCGGTTCCAACTCGTAGTGACCCTGAATAGGCACTTAACAGCAAATTCGTATATAGTCATACATATATGGAGTCAGTTCTGACTCATAGTGACCCTAAATAGAGTTTTCAAGGACCAACTGGTAGATACTACCACATAAGTGATTCACCTGAAACAACATTTAGATGCCATAGAGTCAGTTCTGGCTCATAGTGACATAAGTGTAAGACAAGAACTGAACTGCTAACCACATTGTCGGCAGTTCAAACCCACCAGCTGCTCTTTGTAAACTCTATACAGAGTTGCTCTGAGTATGGATCGATTCAATCACATTTAACTATAGTAACAATACCCATGTGATAGATAATTAAGCCACAAAAAGTAATATATTTGTACAATTTTTTTTTTAATGTTTTATTGTGAGTTATGTGATAGTTTACATAGGAGAACCTTAGCTTTACAGCTCTGGTAGCGTAGTGGTTACGAATTGGGCTGTGAACCTCAAGGTCAGCAGTTCAAAACTACCAGTTGGTTCCGTTGGAGAAAGATGAGGCGTTCTGCTCCCGTAAAGATTTACAGCCTCGGAAACCCTGTACAGGGTCACTATGAGTCGGTTCCGACTCCACGGCACATTACCACCACCTAGGATTTCATTCATTCATTCATTCATCATATAGTGTTTCATTGCCATGGTTACAATCCTCTCCATCCATCCTCAACCAACCAAAGGGTATATACCCTGTAAGCCTGACACCCCCACCACCCCGGTTGTCAGAACATAGCCCCTCTCCCTCTCTGGGTCTAGAATCCCCAGCCGCTCCATTGTCTCCACGTCATCATCTATGCCTCCATCTCTGGTGTCACTGTTTCTCTGGGTAGGGTTCCACACTCCACTCGTCTCATCCTAGAGATCTCCACTCCTGGACTGCAAAGTCAATTACTCCCCTCCTTTTGCTATAAAACATCTACCTGTACATTTCCAACCCTCACAGTCAGTCCTGGTTATAGTTATTCACTGTTGTACCACAAGAGACCTGTCCCCATTTCCTTTCATCAGCCCCGCCCAGACAGATTGGATACTACTCAGTGGAGATTCTACCTTCCTCCGGGCCCTCTGGATCTAGGCTCCCTCTTGAAAGTTTGTAAACCAGTCACCTCTTGCCTTTGTAGCCCCACCATTTTGGGTAGCCAGTGTCCAAGTTGTCCATCCCTGTCTACTCTATGTATGGAGGGGGTGGAAATGATCCTCACTATAAAAATTTGATCCCTCTTTTGTGCTACTGCATCCATAGGTATAGGTCAAGTTCATCAAATTGTATCAAATTACTCTTTTTTTCCTCTTCTTTGTTCTTCGAGTTGAGCTCTGATTATCCAGTCATTAAAGTCAGATCGAGTGGGTATTATCTGCAAGTGTGGGTGTTTTTATGCATGTGCCCTCTCTTCTTATCAGCTGGACGCTTCACTCTCCACTGTAGTCCTCTGGGCCCAAGAGTTCCCAGGTCTTGCCATACTGCTGGCCAACCAGGTCACTACCCTTGTTCATAGGAGTCTATTGAACGTTGTAGGGCTCAGCTTGCAGGTTCATTGCTGTTTTTCCCTCACTTCCCCATATCGGTGACCAACGTGGTCACCAATCAAAGCACACATCTGCTTATGTATTCCCATTGAGTTTTAGTCTTGGTAGGGGGTTTTCGCTGAGGGGACCCGACCAGTGCCTTGATGTCTCCTGGTTGAGCAACTTGCTTGTTCTTGTAGTAACAGTCAGACTACTATTACTGCTTTGTATTTTTCCCGTTGGTCTTTCTTTCAAGAAGTATCTTCTGTTCTTCTAGCCACTCCAGACTGGTCTGCTTGTCCTTTCCAGGGGAAATTTTCCACTTCTGAAGATTGTGTATGCTGTTCAGGATTCTACCTATGGTCTTATGTAATGCAGAGACTCCACAGGAAGCCTCCTTCACTGGGCATGTTGTATCCCCATTTTAGGTATTCCAATCAGTTGTAGGCAGAAGATGGACTTACAAGATTTCTATGGTGATATTTCTGGCTATTCCTTTCTCTCCCCTTCAAGTATCTATTTTATAATGGTATGCAAGGGAAACCAAGATTCAAAAGAGAGCCAAGCATCTTAACATTATTTCTCCCTTTTGCCCGTTCCAACCATGTCTCATTCCCTGTATCTCAGAGCCCTGTTGTTCCAAGGTTGTGCATACATCATTATTTACCTCTGTCCTACTTAAACCATGCAAACCTGCCTAATTGTTTTCCCATCTACCTTGCTCTTCCACTTCTTGTGTATTGCCCCCCTCCCTAGCACGCAAACTATCCTGTGTCTATTCCCTACCCTGTGCTCCACCTTCCCCTCCCTCCCCTCACCTCACCCCCCTTTAATATGGGTTCTTTTTCTTAGTCTTTTACCATAGTGATCTTATGCAGTACTTCTCCTATTGTGACTAATTTCACTCAGGAATTCTGGTGTGGTGCTGTGGATTAGTGCGCCAGACTGCAAAGCCATTTGAACTACAAGGTCGGCAGTTCAAGCTCACCAGCTGCTCTTTGGAAACCCTATACAGGGTCACTATGGGTCAGAACCAACTCGATGGCACTTAACAACAACAATTTCACTCAATCTTATGTCCTCAAGGAGTCCTGGTGTGGCGCTGTGGGTTAATGGGCCAGACTGCAAAGCTGTTTGAACTGCAAGGTTGGCGGTTCAAGCTCACCAGCTGCTCCTTGGAAACCCTATACAGGGTCGCTATGGGTTGGAATCGACTCAACGGCACTTGACAACAACAATGTCTTCAAGGTTCATCCATGTTATGCGGTGACTTGCAGCTTCCTTGTATTTATTTGTACAGCTTTTAATGATATGAGGAAATACAGTTGTAGAGGAGGGAAACTGGATACAAAATTTTACAGAAATTTAAGTTCAGTTTTGTAAAAGAACTATATAGGAAAGATTAGAGAAGTATAGTAATCAACTGTCTTCAAGTCTCTTAGAATTCAGATATGTGGTTTTTGGATGGTGTCCCAGAGAGGAGCTTAGGATCCGTTTTCTATTCTCACAGGTTGGTACTGAGCGTAAAAAGGGAGCACAGGTCTTTGTTTTGATCACAGTTCTGGTCAAGCAATTTAAGGTTTAGGCCTTGGAAAGGGGGTTGGGTGGAAAAAGAGAGGCAGGTTGTATCTAGTTGTCCCTGCAATATCCCATCCATCTGAGTCTGTCTCTTCTTGTTAGAACAGAGAGAGACTGCTGTCCTTACTGCTCCAGAAATGTTCTTAGTCATTAACCTTCCAAGTTTAGATGGTACTGAAAAATGGAAAGCTGGCTTTATTCATCTCCATATCATGTTGTTGTTAAGTGCTATCAAGTTGTATAGGATTTCTGAGGAGCGGCTGGTGAATTTGAACCACCAACCTTGTGGTTCAAACTGACTTTTTGGTCTAGTGCTTATCGTACAGTGCCACACTATATCATAGGAGTGGGGTTTTTTTTTTTTTTACATTGCTAAATTCTAGCCTGTGCCTTTTCTGTTGTTTTAGTCTCCTTTAGAAGCTGAAAGTAAATTAACATTTGTACGTATGGAGGGACTCCAAAAAGTTCATGGGACAATTCCATTATCTTTTTAGTTCTGTTTTTCCACAAACTTTTTGAAACCCCCTCATATATTCAACAACAATCTTAGGTCTTAATCTCTCCCTCACAGAAGTTAATATTTGTGAATGAGAACAAATTTGGTGACTTGGGCGCTGATTCCCTTTTGAGATTCTTGTACTATATAACAAGGAATCCTTGTGGCATGGGATTAAAGCACTCAGGTGCAAAACGAAAGTTGGGTAGTTCAAACCCACCCAGGATCACTGTCTGTACAGTTATCTAACAGATTTGGGATTAAGCATATACAACTAAGTACTCATTAGATGTTAGCATAGGAAAGTTCTAGTAAATGTATTTTGTTTATATTGGTAACTGTCCCTTTTGTGGAGGGTGGTTCCCAGTATTGGTAAAGCAAATTCAATGACCCCGATAGATCTGTCATTTTACTTTGTTCTGTTGGGTCAGAGAAGGCCCCTTCCCTGGAAACAAACTCCCTCAGATTTATAAAGAAATGTTGCATAAGAGGCTCCTTAAGTCAGGTCTTTTAACTGATTTGGCCTTAGGGTCTGACTTCAAAACCCTGCAGTTCCACACCAAGGCGTTTGAAGTCAGATTCCCAGTTTTTGTTCATGTTGTGCACAATCTGGCTTTGTTCACTCCAGCATTAGGCTGGGAACTCACCCCACCCTTGCTTGCGGCTGATCACTGAGTTTTTATAAATGCTATGGTGAGCTGCCTTTATTTTCACCATGTGCCCACTAGTCTAAGCATGACTGGCTTTTATTCGCCTTGTCTGACATGGGGTATGGTTAGAGACTATGTTTGTGTGAGGTAAGAAAGAGATGAGAAGCTACTTAGAAACAGCATTAGATGTAAAGTGATATACCTTCCTTTTCCTATCAGTGGGCAGTGGGTCAGTAGTAGTCACATAACTGAACTTCAATTAACAGTTTGACTAAAGACACAAAGCCAGGATCAGCTTTAATTCTGGACTCCTGTGAGGTTTCCTGGTCACTAGAAAGTGCCTCCATCAGCATTTGTAAGAATAAAGGTCATCAACTGAGCAGGAGATAGGTTCTTCTAAAAATTATCTGTATGTACGCATTCCAGTGGTCTCATGTGCTTTGAAATAGAACATTCCAGCAAGATTATAATATTGTTAGAAAATTAACCCTAAAATGTATTATTTTAGCTCTGTGAACCCGTGAGCAGCATTTACTTCACTAATAATGATTTCCTGCTTATATAGCTGAACTGGCTAACAAGTAATCCTGTATTTCCCCCTAAACACCTACAGGAACCAGTAAGGGATGCATTAAAAGTCACTTTCTAGGCAAGTTGGGTTTGTTTTTCATAGTACTATTTTATTCAGAGCATCTCCTTATTTTCAGAGTAAGCCCCAGTCTCCAAAGAGTACTGCTTCACTTCTTCCCATCAACAATGGCTCCAAAGAAAATGGGGTCCATGAGGAACAAGACCAAGAACCACAGGATCTCTTTGCAGGCAAGTGTGAAAATGGGTTTGTTAAATTGCTGAATTAAACTTAAAAACAAAAAGAAAAGGTATTGGAAATATAACTCAATGTCAGATACAATTGTAGAGGACTCAAAAAATGTAAAGTCCAGGCCCCGTCATCATTTTAAGTTTAGGGAGTAAGACATACATATACAGTTAAGAATGTGATTTAAATAGCTATTATATGATAATAGAAATATGACTAGAGGAATGGTAGAAACACTAAAGGGAGTAATTTTAGACTTTTATGATGGAGATTCATAGTTAAAGTCATTTTATGTCCTAATCCAAATACTTGTACAAAATTGAAACAAACATTACTTGCCCTTGCTACTTCTGATACAATATGGAAATTTCGATTGTTTCACTTTTAAAAATCCTTTTGACAACTTATTATGAATTGATTTCACAGTCCACCAGGGAGCTACAACCTGCACTTTGGAAAATACTAGTCTGGAGCACAGTTTTCAACATTTGGCACTACTGACATTTATTGTTGTTGTTGTTATTAAGTGCTGTTTAGTTCAAACCCATAGTAACCCTGTGTAGCATTTCCGAGGAGAGGCTGACTTTGTAGTTCAAACTGACCTTGCAGTCCAGTGCATTATCCTGTAGCGCCACACGAGTGGGACTCCTGGTGTGGCGCTGTACAATCAGCACTTGACTTTGAACCACAAGGTCGGCAGTTCAAACCCATCAACTGCTTCTCAGAAATGCTGTACAGGTTCGCTTTGAGTTGGAACCAACTTGATACCCTATTCTCAACTCATCTTATCTCCCAGGAGACATTTGTCAATGGTTAGAGGCATTTTTAGTTACCACAAATGAAGAGGCAGTGCTACTAGCATCTAGAGGATAAGAGACCACTGGTGCTTCTAAACATCCTAGAATACATATGAACACCCTGCAACCCCTCACAATAAAGAATTATTCAGCCCAAAATGTCAGTAAGGCAGAGATTGAGAAGCCCTGGTCGAGAGTGATTTTGAAAGATTTCCTAAAAGAAACAGGATTTATGTAGGAGACAAGGAGAAGGAAGGTATACAAAATGGGGTTGGGCAGGAATTATAAGATGTGTTTGGAAGACAAGAAACTCAATGGGTTCTTAGAAAAGTCATGCAAGATAAGCTTGAGATGTAGTTTGGGAGGATTTTTGACAGCAGTAATTACAAATATAGGTTGAATTTTCCATCCTAACTCCAATTGAGTCATTGGCTATTTTAAATAAGGAAAGTGATATGGGCAAAGTAAAGTTTTAGGGAAATGGATCTAGTGGTATTATGTAAAATGGATTGTAGTGGGCAAAGTCTGGAGACTTTTCAGAAGACAATCACCAAGCAGTTCAAAAATGAAATGGCCAAGACCAAAATTAAGGTGATAGAAGTAGCTAAGGAAAGGTGCAAGCTTTTCAAAAGACAGCAGCAAAATCTGGTGTTAGTGGTTGGATAGAACAAGTATTCAAAAATGAGGATTGAAGACAAGAGTCAAAGACTTCAAGGATTAGGAGGGAAATGATACCAAAGTTGATGGGGGGGACTGGTATTTGGGGAGGAAGTAAGTTTAGATTTTAGATGTTTTAAGTTGAAAGTATAAAGTGAAGCTCCCAGGAAGCAATTTGTAACTGTGGTACTCATTTCCCTGAAGTGGGAGGGAAGACTTGAAACAGTACAGTCATCTTCCTAGAGTCTCCATGGAAGTGGAAGGTCCCATGTGAATAAAATCCTCTAAAGAAAGCACAGTGGTGGGGGCAAGGTCTTGTGGGAACTCTACGTTAGAGCTCTAGTGGGAAATTTAAAAGATGTGAAAGGAAGGATAAGTTAGAAGAAGGAAGGTAAAGATTTAGAGGAGTTTTCAGTCCCTTTCTTCCTTGAAGCTTAAAATGCACACTATTTTTTCTGCAGTTTTTTTGGATAAAGTTTCTAGACAAGAAATACAAATAATTCATTATCTTTAGCTACATGGCCAATTGAAAAGAATATGAATTTTCTGCCTTTCGTATGCCCTTTCCTGATAAGAAAATCTGAAAACTTAATGTGACCAGTGAGTTACCCCCATAGTTGGCTTTTTGTGCATGAACATATAAAAGTCTTTATTAGGGGCATACGAGTACTTATTACTAGTGAGGATTCTGATTTGTTTTATTCCTCTACCAGTGTTGTAAGCAGCCAATACTTGCCTCACTGCGAAGAAAGGAACTACTATCTATAGGAAGAAATTTCTACAATTTTAGGACTTGATTAGCTTCTCAGATGTTTTAGATATTGACTGGAAATGTTAATGTTTTGATTTTGTTTTCCACATGATTGCTTAATGGTGATCAGAGTCTCTGTGATAAAGCCAAGAGCTCAAAGATTAAACTTTTTTTAATGTAAGTTTTAACATCTTTGTCAAGTGGATTTCAATAGAAAATGTGCAGTTCTTCAAAAGACTTTTAGTAGTTCTCTAGTAAGTCTAAGGTTTTAATTGATAGTATCTTTATTTCATTTCCATACTATTAGCCAGATTACATAAATGGAACTTGTGTGTTCCTAATCATAACTCATCTGACTGTGGGTTTTGGGTTTTTTTTCCAAAGAATTCTACAGCCCTGACATGTGATGCTGTGGGTTATTGCACTGAACTGCAAAGTCTGTTTGAACCACAAGGTCAGAGGTTCAAGCTCACCAGCTGCTCATTTGAAACCCTATATAGGGTCGCTGTGGGTCTGAACCGACTCAATGGCACTTAACAACAACATGTTAATTAGGAGTCCTGGTGGTTACACATTGGACTGCTGACCACAAAGTCAGCAGTGTGAATCCATCAGCCGCTCGGTAAGAGAAAGAAGAGGCTTTTTACTCCTATAAAAGTTTACAGCCTCCGAAACTCTGTACTGGGTTCCTATGAGTCAGAAACAACTTGAGGGCACACAATAACATGCTAATTATATGCATTCTTCTTACATGTCTAAAAGTTTTAATGCTTAAAAATGGTGCATAATACTGTTTTAAAAATCTCCTCTCTTAAATACTTGGGAATGACTTGTTCGGCTCAGCTGTTCAGATAACCAAAGGATGGCTCTTAAGCACTTTTTAAAAAAATTTATTTTGATTAGTAAGATTTTCAGATATTACATATCCTTTCCTGCCTTGGATAGCTATAGTAAACATAATTTAATTTTTGCAAGACAATCTAAAGCCTTCATTGTGCACACATAAACTGTGCCAAGGTAGCCTTGCTGCCCTCTACTGTTGTTCTTCCCCAGGTGTCAGTGTGCTTGTAGCTTAGAGCCATTTTTTCTAACTTAGTTTTCCTGAGCCCTCCTTCGATGTAAATTTTCTGCTGGTGGCACACCTGCCTTTTCTGTCATAGTGATTTGTAAAGCAGGTAACTGAACTGATTCTTCTTTTACAAACAATTTTAACAGGAACAAATAGTGATTTTGTAAGTTTCTAAAGGCATATTCCTTTAGAGTAATATATAATAAAATTAACACATTTATTTTGGCTGTGTAGTGTTTTTGCTTGATCCTGATTCTTGCCTAAATTCAAGATAAGAGAGAGTAGCCAAGTAGTTGTTTCCAAAGGAAACTTTGGAAAGAATAGGGGTGGCTTTACTAAAAACACTTTTCTTACCAGCCTACCCTTTTAGCCACATAAACATTTTGTGACTTTTGTTCTGTTAGCTTAAGAATCTCTAAGTACTGAGAGTAGTTGCACTCATTCTTGTCTCTTGCTGTACAGAATGAAACTCGGCTATTAAAGAAATACTGTTTTAAAACTGTCAACTCCTTTTAGATGCCACAGTGGAGCTATCCCTGGACAGCACTCAAAGTAATCAGAAAAAGACACCAGCCAGAACTCTGATTTCTCTCCCATCTCAGGAAGACACACATTCTTCTAAGCTCCAGCCAAGCTATGAGGAGGTAAGAATATATATTATTGGTATTATTTCTTTTGCATGTTTTGGATAAGCACTGGACTGCTAACTGCAAAGTTAACTGTTCAAATCCACCAGCCACTCCTTGGAAACCCTACACAGGGTTACCATGAGTCAGAACTGACAAGACAGCACTTACCAAGAACACATGCTGCCATTCCAACACCCATTTGTCAGTTTGTCATACTATGGTTGCTTCTGTGTTGCTGTGATGCTTGATGCAATGCCACTGGCATTTTAAATACCAGCAGGGTCACCCATGGTGGACAGGTTTCAGCCTAGCTTCCAGACCAGGATGAAGGAGCTGTGGAGCACTTCTGAATGGCTAGCTACTGAAACCCACATGAATAGCAGCAGAACATTGTCAGATATAATGCTGAAATTTGACCCTTTTGGGTTTTAAGGCACTTAAAATATGACTGGGGAAGAGCTGCCTCCTCAAAGTAGAATTGACCTTAATGATGTAGATGGAGTAAAACTTTTGAGATCTTCGTTTGCTGATGGGGCACAACTCAAACTGAGAAGAAACAGCTGCAAGCATCCATTAGTAATCAGAATGAAGAATGTGTTAAGTGTGAATCTAGGAAAATTATAAGTCGTCAAAAATTAAATGCAAGGACCCACCCCCACCCCCAAACTCTGTGGCAGTAACAGCGGGCTTAAACAGAGCCCCAGTTGTGAGGATGGTGCAGGACTGGGCAGTGTTTGTTCTATTGTGTGTAGTGTTGCTATGAGTCAGAACTGACTCAACAGAACCTAACAACAACATGCTACGATTTGAAGTTATCTCGCATGTGAACCAAGAAAATATTTATGACTCTTGAAGATCTTTATGGTTAGTGGACAGCCAGCTTCTAGTAAAGGTCTCTTGGGCAGGGTGTCTATTGCCTGGTTATTAATGTTATCTAGTGTCTGAAGCTCCCATATCCATGAGCATACTCTTTTCTCATTTCTTCTTTAGCCTGAAAGAGATAGGTATTCTGGAATTTAATAATTATTCATTATGATCAAAGTAGTTTCAATGGCATAGATTTATCCAAGACCTTTGAACTGACTTGAGAGTTGATTCATTAGGATTGTTGGGAATAGACACAGCATAACACTGATACATAGAAAGCTGCGTCATTTCACTGTAGTGATAAATGGTTTCAACAGGGTACAATTAAGCACTTTTCTTTATATGAATTCTCATGATCTTCTCTTGAAAAAGCTAGAGGAAGAAGAACAAGAGGACCAGTTTGATTTGACAGTCGGTATAACTGATCCCGAGAAAATAGGTAAGCATTCTTGGGGCTCCTTATATTGATAACCTGTTAGACTCTGACTGTGAAAGGCAACTTCACTAATGTCTAGATAGTTAGCTCCATAGCTGAGCTCCTCACTGTGAAGTATTTCATCATTACCTTTCCTGTGAGTTTATACCCCTTGCTATACTTCTAAGGAGTTCTGGTGTTGTGCTGTAGGATAAGCACTTGACTACTAACCACATGATCAGTGGTTCATATCCACCAGGCCACTCCTTGGAAACCTCAAGCAGGTTTGCTATGAGTCTAAGGCTAGAAACAGCAGTTAATGAGTACTTCTGTTAGACTTCTCTTGAATTTAGGGGGGAAAAGTCAGAGACATCAAATTCTATAAAAATCCCCTTTTTAAAATCAAAACATTGCCTTCTCCCACAGAATTGGCGAGAACACTTTATCCCCCATTTAAGATCATAAATTCCGCTTGTTGTTAAGTGCCCTTGAGTCAATTCCAACTCATAGTGATCCTGTATAGGGTTTCCAAGGAGCAGCTGGTAAGCTTGAACCCCCAACTTTGCGGTTCAAACCAATCTTGTAGTCCCGTGCATTACCCCACAGCACCACACCAGGACTCCAAATTCCATTTAATCACCTAAAAATACATGTTCTAACATTTAGATATACTGAGCTTTCCTTTCACAAGTTTAAAACTCTTGTTACATTTATCATGTACCCTTCATATCCTGATGAAAAGAAAGTGCATCTCTCTTTTATAGATAAGAGACTATCTATAATATCTGAATGTTGGTCAAATTGAAATTAGATTTTCCAAAAAGCACATTACTTAACTTTGGCTAAGATTTGAATTAGGATAGCCTTCCCCTGCCCCAAGCATGTGAGGATTACTAGTGAGCAGCAAACAATACACCTCAACTTTTCCTTGTTCAGGTAGTGACCATTACAGAGGAGGCTGTGCAGAGGTTTGTCCTCCTCAACAGGTATTAGTTATATAATTAGAGGAAAAATGTAATTTCCAGCCCTCTTACTATTCCAAACTTGGAACAGAAATTTATGTGGCCATAATTTATCAAAATGGTTTGTCATTAAAATGTCGAATTTTTATGTTTACTAGACAGTAGGCTTTTATGAGCATCTTCCACAGTCCCTTCATCTAACGACAGAGGAAACTCAGGGCCAAAGAATGAAGTAGCTTTACTTTTTGGGCACAACATGCTTCATGGGAGAGCCAGGACCAGAATGTTGGATTGCATGTATATAATTCTCTCTTTGCCTCTCTAATATTTATGCATATTTTATAAGCACATTGATTTTAAGCTAGTTATTAGCTGTTTCAAATCCTTGCTGGCATAAGACAGGTTATAAATCAGTAATACTAATTGCTTTAATATTAAGCAAGTCATGATGTTTGAGTCAGGAGAAAGAATAATTAAAACATCCCATGGATCGGATTTATTTAAATACAAATCACTTCTAAGGTGATAAGCTTTCATCCTATTACACCATAGTCTAGATTTCTAGTCATGTAGATGCTAAGAAACCAGCCACTTAAAGCAATTTTCATTTTAGAGGTCTGATCTTCATAAGAACACCTTCTGTCTTTGTGGTTTATTCAACATGTACTGCTTCTCTTTCCCATACACATTAAATGGATCAGAGTTTCTTTCTATCAGGGTATTCTTTTTGGAGCCTTGATAGTTTGCATATGCTATCTTTTAGTCTCTTAATTTATATAAACTTTAAGAGTGCTGTATTAACCCATTTTCAGATCTTGTGTGCCCTGTATGCACATGCAAGTATGTTTGTTTTCACATACCACTGTGACAAAGCAGCTAGCCTATAGGCAAACTATATGAAGATCCTGTTTTGCATCTTGTGTGTTTGCACTCAAACATTTCCAAAACTTCAGGCACTGCAATTATGGGATTGATCTTACTTTCTTTTTTAATTCTGGTAAATATATATGTAATAAATTACTCGCCAGGGATTGACCTTTTGAACATTTGAATATGACTTTTCTACTATGAATAAAATTTTTTAATACGTTTTCTATAAACTTAATTTAATTTTCTTTCCCCTTTCTTTCATCAGTGGTAAACAACCTTTGTATTTAGCATTGTAGCCTAAGTGGTTTGAAGTGAACTAAAGGGATAAATTAAGAGTAATGTAAACTAAATCAGTATAAAGTTAATTTCTAAAGTTTGGCTATTTTTTACATAGCTTTTTGATCGGAGTTGGAGAGGTAGAGAAAGCAAGCCCTCTATTTTGGTATAAATCTCCAACTTCTTTGTGTACTTTATAAAAGCAATCATTTCCAGTCCTCACACTGAAACCAGGTTGTAATAATTGACCCTCTTGATCCAGTTACAGTCTCCTCACCCCAAGACTAGTTCAGGAACTAAAGCAGCTGGTAATTGTTAACAAGGTTTTCCTATTTGGTTTGGAAGGAATCAGGGTGAGGAGTAAGGAAACAAAACTAACTATGAACCCACACCATAACCCTGCACTAGAATCTATCTGTGTCTAGATTCCAGTGCGTGCCTTTCAGTGTTCAGATAATTAATAGTGCCTTTATCTCCCCAAGTGGTCTTGGTCAGGATACTGCCACAGAAAAAAAAACAGTTGCTTGAATCCCAAATTATTTAACAAAGAGTTTTTCAGAAAAGTAATTCCTCCAGGAAAGGGAAATTTGTGTGACATTAGGTAGCCAAAGTTTCTTCCTGCCAGGCCCTTTGCTCTGGGTGAATATGCTTGAGCAGTGAGGTCAGTGTCTCCCAGCACCAATGGAAGGGACCGAGGTGGTATTTCTGAAAAGAGCAAACCAAGCCCAGAGCTAGCCTAGGGTAGAACTACTTGTTTCCTTTTACATCAGTTGCTTCCTTCTCCTCCTCCTGCTTTATACAGCAAGAGAATTGTTTGGTGTGGGTCAGATGTGTGTAATCAGCCCAAATATTGGCATGGTAACAACTGATGGATTGTCAGTATCCAGTGCTGCTTTGTGGAGGGTATAAATGGAGCCTAGTTTTGGAACAGGGGACTGACTTTCTTGTCTAAATCAAAACTGGGGCCCAGCCAGCATCTGTGGGGGCACAATATGCACCACTGAAGCAAAGTAGGAATTGAACTGTAGGATGGCATGTAAAATTCAGAGATGAAACAAGTATTCCTTCTTCTATAGGCTTCCTGTGGTGTATGATTCCTGGTTAAATGTTAGCTAGATTAACACTCCTGTGCTTTACACAATAATCCTCTCCTGCTTTCTTCTCCCACAGGAGATGGTATGAATGCCTACGTAGCCTACAAAGTTACAACACAGGTGAGTCCAGGTGACCCTGCTGATGACCACCTTAAAAGACTTGTGTATTCACACCAAGAAGGTCATCTTTCAGATTAACTCTGAGTATCCATTTAGTTTCTTTGCCAACATCTTTCTTTATGCTTACTTAGAGTGGACAAGCCTCCACTCTGTTCATTTGTTCTTCTGTATACTCTAGGCTGAGCTTTTCCAGTTTTCTTCCAAATAGCTAATACTCAGTGTGTGGAGCATAAAACATCATATATTAAGTTTTAAAGCATAATGAAATGGAGCCCTGAACTTAACCACCAGTCTTAAGATCAATCCAATTGAGTCTACCTGTCTGCTTCTCCCTATCACATCCTCTGCCTCTTGCTTTAGTGACAGCCACTCTCCTGAGTTGGCTCCCTATTCCTTTATTAAACGTTTTTACCCGAAAGGCTGGGTTCTATGAAGAAAAACGTGGCATCAGGATTGGAGGAAGACTCATTAACAACCTGCGATATGCAGATGATACAGCCTTGATCGCTGAAAGTGAAGAGGACTTGAAACATTTACTTATGAAGATTAAAGAGCACAGCCTTCGATATGGATTACATCTCAATGTCAAGAAAACAA